CAGTAGAGGGGGCATGCTGGAAGGTAATTCGCCGCTCATCAGTAGGACGAGCTCGGTGATCGAGCGTATAGATACGATGTCTCCAGGGGTGCCGACACGGGGAGCGCAGCCGTGCACCAATAATTTTTTTGCACCAATAAGCCCTGAATCGAACGCCTGGGATGTCCCCAGACATCCACTAATCAGCCGTGAACCACTCGGCTGTGTCCTCCTCCGGCCTTGCATTAAACCTGCCGTGCACCACCAGGCCGCGGATCGAATATGACTTGCGGGCATCGTTAAACTACGTAATTTTACGTTCACCGCATCTGAGGTTAGTTTTCAGATAGCATATTGTTCTGTTCCAAAAATTTTATCGTCCTACGACGAGTGGCCGTTCGACCGAGGGCCGGTCCGACGCACGGCATAGATATGACTGTCCAGAAGTGTTGAAGGCTACGTTCCGGAAGGCAGGAATCATGATGGTCCATTACATCCAGGGCAGAGTGTGGTCTTCGGCAGGCGACCCCCGATTGTGGCTGTTCGTAACGACTGTCGGCGCTGCGCTTCGTTTCCATCACCCGGCCAATTGGCCAGTGATTTCTAATCGTCGCTAAATTTCTCACCAGAACAACGTCTCCAGTTTTCGGGGAAGGCTTCTAATGCAGCCACTTTCTTGGTGGCTGAAGGTTTTGTATGTATTCTTTGTGCCATCTGATCCAGAATAATGCTCAGTGAGATCTAGATTCGTCTCCAACGTCTTTTTCCGTAGGCGAGAATGTCGCGTTCGGTGTAATCTTCTACAACACACAACACGAGCAGAGGTAGTGAACGTAGAACTGACACGCCCTTTTGCCAGTCTGAACTGGGTCAAGATGACACATATAGGGGCAAAAAGTAAATCGAAATTTGGCCTAAGTCTCACTGATTTCTTTGATTGACTGTATGTAATTTCTTAATGTAATTTTTGCAAAAATGTACTGAAATATTAAGTTGTTGGTATAACTTATTCCGACTGAATGATGACAAATAAATCACTCCAAATAGGGTTTAAAAAATTAAGTGCTGAATCATAGCCTTACTTCATTTTTATATTTAGTATATTTTATACGTTTAAGAAGTAATATTTTCATGCAATCTGTGTTGTTATTAATAGCTAAATTTCAGCTAAAAACATCAGTATTATCATGGGAAAATATTTTCTCGATAGAAATTGTAAATATTTTTCTCTCAAAAATTTTCTTCCACGTGATGCATTAATATTAAAACTTTTTATCGCTTTAAGAGATAAAGAAAATATTATGTTCTACTAATTTGATTCCATACTAAAGTAATATAATTGCTTTACATGCTATCAATACCAAAAAGAATGAAATTTTGCGGGAACAACATTTAGACTGTTGTTCATGCATGAGAGTTGACCGAGAATAAAGATTTTTATAGAATAAATAATAATCAAATCGGAAATAAAGGTTACCTAGCTACGGTTTGTCGTCTATGGCGGGGGTGAGATATGTGTTTTCTTCATGGTGGATTTAGTGTCACTCCCATTAAAATTTTCCAATAATTTTCATAAATATACTGTAAAAACATCATGTGCACATGTATAAATATATAACATTTAACGTTAGTATTTTTTCAGAAACCGTCCTATAGATGAGAAAACAGAGATGAGATATTCCATTAATCTCTACGCGAATGCACACACTCCTGCACTAATTATGACAGTTTGAAATCAGAAGAAAAAAATGGAAGAAAAAGCGGTCTGTAACAAGAATATCAAACATAAACTATGAGACTAGACGCTTACTGTGCAACACGCACGACGCGTTCGACGCTGAGAAGCAGAATCCCAAGCAGTCTTGCTTGACAGCGCCACACCTCGAGGAGCAGAGAATCTGAAGAAGGAACACAGAATTTAGCGGCGAAAATGAGCTTACGGTGAAAATGATCGCCTTTGGTTTGTTTACCGGTGTTTTTTTTTTACCCAGCATTTGTATAGCCCCTTACCCGAAAGATCGCATCACAAGTACGTACGTAACTTCGTGCCTCTATAAAATTAAGCCTGGATATTCACTCTACTCTATATCCATAGTCAATGGCATTGGATATCTATTCATACCACGTGAATATACCATACCTAACCACTTCCCGCAATATGTAAAACAATAAATCGTTATAATCGTTAAGAAGGCAGTCAATCCGAACTCACCAGAATGTCAGCAGTGGAGTTGTTTATGATGTTCCCACAGGTTTGGTAGACACGTTTGAAGACGGCTTTATTCAATGTTCCAGAGCTGCTAGCTAACCACACACCCACGAACCATGCAACCGCGTGGTAAAGTGACAACATTGTAGATAACTACAGAAATATTTTCTTTGTTTAAAGATATCCTCCAAATCTACGGGGGTAATCATGAGAAAAAAAATTGTTTTAATTGGAGTGTTGTGTTTAAAATATGATGTAGGTGAGTGAGTGACACTCCACGAATTGCAAATGACATGTATATACTCATGTTGAAGAATAATCTAAGTAAGTCTCAACAGAAATATGAGTCTATACCATAGAGGCAAATACAAAAAGCCCTGAATATTTCAGCTGAAAAGTAATATGTACTCGACCATATAAAAGCGTATTCAAAATCAATTGATCGGATAATAATTTATTGAAATTGTATTAAAAGTTCATTAACTGTGCATGAAAGTCTTTGAAACTGCGGAGGTTAACGAACTGTTGAGCAAAGATGCTACTTGCTGGAATCGCCACGAACTTATGCCGAGACTAACGTCCGCCTCGAGCCTTTCTCGACCTCTTTCTATAGGGTTCGTCGTGGGCCTCCAATCATTCGTCAATGAATAACAGATTGGCGCGTCTATCTGACCGATTGACCGTAAAGTAATTTGAGTCTTTCTGATACTTACGCTTTGGCTTAGTTTTATCTTTTTTTATAGTTATATTGAATTAGAATAATGAGTGAGAATAAATAGTTAGTGAACATAGTTGAATGTTCATTTTCGGAGAGCCCTGCCCATCAATGAACTGAAAAGTAATTTGAGGCTTTCTGATACTTTCGCTGTGGCTTAGTTTTATCTTTTCATAGTTATATTGAATTAGAATAATGAGTGAGAATAAATAGTTAGTGAACATAGTTGAATGTTCATTTTCGGAGAGCCCTGCCCATCAATGAACTGTGCGCGCGAATTAACTATGGCTGATTACAAACTATAGCGCCTTACTAGTAATCGTATGTACAAATAAATTCATCCAACGTCTAAATTTGCATTTGAAAATGTCTATCTATATTTACATTTTGCGGGTCCAGACGATCATGTATGATGGGGCAAAATTAACAACCGCAGCTGGAGTAGCGGCTATCAGTATAATATCTGAGCATTCTTCCAGCCTGACAAATCTGCACAGAATTTCCTGTAATTGTAATTAAATATTCACGCCCGTGACCTTTTGTACTGTTTCTTCAAGCTGTTAACAATCCAATCAATTGTCCCCAAATTCCACGCTGGCTACTGCACGAAAGAGTTTGCCTTCTATTGTAATAACTAAAAATTTATTTGTTGTCACAGATCTGAAAACTTTTAGGTATTTAGCTTGCTTTGTGTTCATTAAAGAAATATAAAAGAGGTGCAACGTATCAAATCACTGTAAATGGGTTATTTTCTGAATTTGCATTTAAATTAACACGTGCTTGGATACCTCTTTCTGAAACTATTTATATTTGCCTCAATTATTTGTTTAAAGGTGTCAATGAACTTCCCAAATAAAAATTAAGAGTGGAGCACCTATGTTTTTATGATGACTATTGGCGGACGCCATAGGTGGAGAAGCTATGATTTATACAGCGAATTAAGGGTGGCGTGCACCATCTTTCCCATACCTATAACATGCCTGTGGCCACGTTTGCGCTCAAACCTTACGTCCACCAAAATCTTTCATTCGTCATTGATGAATCTTTGTTGTACCATGGGTGGCCACCTCTCACAGAAAATTTAAAAAAATGCTCCCGGTTGTACCTAGCCCAGATTAACAACTATCGTCTGTCTAATAAATGCAACTTTCTCTCGTGAATTCATTTATTTGTACACGATTAAATATGGATGACATATTATTCATTTCATGGACGATAGGCACCAATCACGGATATATACAAGTGTATAGACGAGATTGGTGTCAATAATCTATGAAATGAATTTTTTTATTCCACATCTATTCAACAATGTACAATAAATGAATGCACAACAGAGGTGGCATTTATTAGGAAGATGATAGTTTTTAATCTCGGCTAGGTGCAACCAGGAGCTTACTTATTCTGAGTGATGGTTATACAGAAGTAATTGCACGCCTACAGTCGAAACGGTAATTACTAAAGTAGTAGAAGTGCTCGATCACAAAAAAAGTTCATTAGAAAAAAAGGTTCTTCGAAAGTTCAGAATTGTGTGGAAGCGGGTTAGATAACGATATGATATACAATGAAAATCTTCTAAAACAATGTTGCGTGAACTAGATTGAAAGACAGAATTATCAAAATTTATTTCAAATTAAAAAAAAACACCCATTACTGCCGTATTAATCCTCAACGAGAAACGCTCAATGAAGCCCCGTATCATGGCTAATCCGAACGGAAGAAAAAGGATAAATAATAGAGTACGCAACATTTTTTATGCTATGTTCATCGAGAGCTCTCGCATTCCTTTGGTTATGTTAACAAATTAATCAACACATTCCGTAAGGAAAAACGATGTGTTGATTAACTAAAAAAAAGTTAATACACTAAACACTAAAAAAAGTTAATTTTGGCCCTTCATGAGAATCGGAACAAGATTATATCATAAAATTCGAATCACCACAAGATTACATTCGAATCACAAAGATCATAAAGGAGCACACGACTTAAGCAGCCGTGGCAATGCGAGCAGCAGTAAAAATTAATTATATCTAAAGTATAATGAAGTCTTCACTTGGACTAGCACTTAATTCAGAAGCAACTGGCTGGGCCTGAGAATGTTCAACCATAACCAATTCTGGAAACGTTGAATGTAATGGACCCGCGAAGAGCTCTTTCGCAAGCCACCGTTCGCATCAGGCCTGTAGCGAAATCGGGCCCGTCTGATGGTGGATCCGGGGCAACAAAGTGAGCCTGTGACCTCGTTACACGACTTGGGGTTAGAATCTTGATTGGAGTTGGACGGTTTGCAGTCTCACCTGTCGCGTTCTTCCTTCTGCCCCGATGCCCCAACCAGTCGATTGCACCTGCAATTCATACAAAATTTGACGCAATCTGGTATTTACTATACTATATAAGGCTTTACTTTTTAACTTTTTTTATCAATAACAATCTAGTTTTCAGTCAACTATCATTGAATAGGACCCATGGCGGCAATAGAATTCAGAGACAGAAGGGCTAAGCTCACCTCAGAAGAGGCTGAGCCCACCTTAGGATCCCCTCCCAATTAGAATAACTTTGTTTTTGGAGGGGGGCAGCTGGGCTTCAGAATTTTTTGAGGACTGAAACCCCATTAAAATAGGTATTAGGACGTCACTGAGAGGATTAATTATACATTTATATATGCAGTCGAGTGAGAAGTTGCGAAAGAGGCAAACTTGTACTAACCTTTTAGTGCTAATCTAATTGAATTTTTGACGTTGGCTCTCGGTTCCTGGCTGTACTCGGGTACTTTGCCTAGGGCCTCTGAGAAAAGAGTTGAACATTTTTAATAAAACAAAACAATTTCATGAGGGTTTTGATATGAAACCCATACCAGACATAACTTGATTCACGATGTCTCTGGCGCACTCTAACTACTCGTCAATACATTTAATATTTTTAACCCGAAGAATTGAGTAGCCATATGAATTATTTTGGTTGAAATTTCTTACGTTCAATGGCAATACACGCAGGTGAGTTGTCGAATTTGATCTTCGTACGTTGTCGTCGAAGACCAAGTCCGGTCATGGTGTATTTCAGAGCCAAGTCCCTGGTTAGTAGCATTTTCAACATCGAGGTAGCTGAGCGGTTGGGGGTGGATTCCTTAAAAGCAACAAGAATCGGAATCTGTAAAACAAATAAAGGACTTATTAATACTAATTTCATTCATCATTAATTCAGCAACTGGCCCGGATTTCTAGCAATATCTGTACCATCACTTGCTAAGCTATTTTTTTCGCAGCCTTTTATAATTGACACCCTTGTATTCACCTTGCATTTTCATTTAACATGATGGGCAAGTTATTCATTAAATATAAGAGGAGATTAATGAAAATGTGTCCATGCTTTTAGGAATACAGGTTTATCAGTAATTAAAGTAGTACAAAGGTTTGCTAGCGCTTCACCTATGAAGCTATTTCGCACCGGAGGTCAAAAATTAACATCGCCAGAAAGGCAGGTCTCAATTTTTAAATATATTTCAAGATATTTTAAATATATTTCGGAAGGTCTCTATTGTCAAGCACGTTGAAGTCGCCTCGAAATGAGCAACCTTAGCCACGAAGTGACAGGGAGGGACAGTTGACAAGCTACAGAAACGAAGACACTCGAACAAGAGGTCGCTTACACGGGACGTCGGCCGCCCGCACGAGAGAGACAGAGAAGGGAAAGGCAAGNATTATTTGGCAGCCTCTACGCTAAATTCAAGGCTAAAACACTCGATGCATGAAAATTATTCAGATATCACATGAGGCCGTAGCTAATGACGATACAATAACATGTTTATTACAATTGAATGGATCAATGAAACATTGCTACTTATTTAATCAAAGTAAATAACCTGTAGATTTTGATCAGAAACGTACATGTATCTGCGAACAGTACATCAAGCCTTCTCTTAGCAGAGGTAGGTATAACTTTTCTCCGCTTCGTGCTACACGAAGAAGAAGCAGGATCAACTGATGTTAAATTGCCACACGGCGGCGATTTCCGTTTACTCTGCATATAAGCAGGATTCGGACTGTGCGTTTCGGATTCTGAAGCCGTTGAGGACCCATCGCCGTGTAGCATGTTGTGCACTGCTCTCGCGTAGTTATCTAAAATATATCAAATTTCATACAAAATAAATGCTTTTGCAGAGGTTAGCTAGCTGTTTAAAAAAAGGAACGTTTTTATTATGCTAAGCGGTTAATTGGTTTGGAACACATATAAAAGAGAAATGTTACAAATATTGCCTTCCTAAATAATTTTATGTTAATGTAATATATTTATATCACCACGGGATTTATATCAACCCTAGGGCGGTATGCAAGCAACAGATTCAATCAGAGTGGCTCGCACCTAATGAGTTACAGATTCAATGTGCAGGTAACAGATAGAATTATAGTGATCTAGGGGCTATAATTCAGTGGCATCATAAAGAAAATTTATGGGAGGCTTCAGCCCACCTATAATATACTCAAGCCTCCCTAAATAATTTCATGGTCATATTTTCAAATTATTTGTCCAACTATTTATATATTTATAAATTAATTGTCCAACTATTACTAAAGGGAGGGGCTTAGCCCGTCCTGCCATTAATACCTAATTATGATACTCATGTGCTGATCCATGAACATATGGTAGAGTATGGTGAACACCCATAGATTATAGTTGCAACTTACTTGAGGTCATTGCAGTCCGTTTAACAGGAAAATGTTTCCACCGTTTTCCAACATGTGTTTTCTGCTCTGCAAGATGGTTAACGTTTCCATCTGAAGGCCACCAAACATGAATTGTATCATTTTCTTTAAATAGCCATTCAGATGGAACTACCTGCCAGGCATTTTCTTCAAAAAAAATGCCCACAAATTGTTTGTACATGATTGAAGAAAAGAATCTGTAAATATATTATTATGAATTAATGCACATTAAGTTGAATAGTTTTTGTTGTATCTTGATACGACAAAACTAACCAAGACTCAAAAATTGAAAGTATTTTTTTAATAACCCCTACCGAAGCCGGATGACCAGGAAAGTATTCTACTCTCTTATAAAAAACTCTGGGTAAAACATTTAACGGTATTAGAAATTTTGAGCACACTATTTTAACAAAGAACAATTGGCAAAATATTAAATGGTATTATAAATTTTGAGCACACTATTCTCACAAAAAACTCTTGGTAAAACAAGTAGACTGTGGAATGGTATTTGAAATTTTGAGCACACTATTCTTGCAAAAAAAACTCTTGGTAAAACATTAAACGGTATTAGAAATTTTGAACACACTATTTATGACTCCTGTTTATATTCATTAAATTTAAATGTTTGCAAAAACGAAAAATATAAGAGTTAGAATACTTTCTTCTGGTTGGATGGGGACTGGCATTTCTTTATTGCTGACATTTTTCAAATTGAAATCATACATAGAAATCGTACAAATCTTGAGGCGATTAGACATTTATGAAAAATATTACAGGTTATTTGAAGCCTAACAATGTACAATTTTATTATGAAATATTCAAAGCATAATATATCACATAACACACTCCAAATGTAAGGATTCATACTAATTTTTAATATCTATAAATGGATTCATCAGACATAGAACACAGTTTCCAAGAAACAAATAATCAACCCATACAATTCTATTGAGCTGGAGGCAAATTGTTTTAGCAGAGTACGAGCATTTTCAACGTTGGAAATTTGATTTGGACTCAGCAAAATCCTCATGGCAAGGCTGAAATTCAAGAAATTTAAATAATAAGACTCTGGTAGAATTTCTAAGAAGACCATAATGCCAACATACAACATAAACAAACGTAATTCACTGGCTTTCTAGTATGCTAGTGATCCAAATCCTCCAGCGAACTGCATATTAAAATTTGAAGGCATATGTGATGAAAAAGTATTGATTTCTGTATTTAAAAGTTGCTGCTTTGTGCTATCCAAGTGGCATCGAACTTCTCCTTTTTTGGAAAATTTTAACCTGTTCAGCATTCTTTTCATTACTCCCAAACAAGCAAGATGCATGTAGTCCAGAGGGAATCTTGAAACCATTCCAACTCCAAGTTGTTCAATGATAGAATGCGGCCCTTGCTTGTGGTGAGATGGATCAGCTTGAGCCAAAAAATCCTCATCAGTTCTTATGGGGGCATTGATGTCCGGAAGAACTACGTGACCACCAGCATATGAACCTTTTTGAATGCAACGTTCACAGCCTCCATACGAGTTATGATTTACAATCCTTTTCAATTCAGAACGAGCTGGAGCGTCACAAACAAAGGCTTGAATGCCAACTTCAAAGTGCTTTTCATCAATTTTCAATCCTTCACTAAGCATGTGGGACATTTCTTCAACAAAATCTTCAAGAAATTTGTTTATAGCAGGCATTTTATTGTCATTTCCAGATTCAGAAAGGTAGACTCCTACACAAATTATTTTTGAAGCATCAGGGATACACAACTGCAATAGAATGGGATAAGCATGAAAACGTCTAGCATCTTGATACAGAGGTATCCCATCTATATTTACATTTATGGAAATATTTGGTTCCTGAAATTTATTATCTTTCAAATGAGCAGAAATACATTCTTGCCAATTCTTCAAGTGGGCATATGAGGGAATTTTTTCATGGAAACATCAAGATGGCCTTCTTGCTTCAAAGTCTTTCAGTTAGCACAATGCCAGGAAAGAAAGAGCTCAGGTGATGTAATAGGCGAGTCATTTGTTGGTTAGGGAAATTTGGACACTCAATGGAGAAATTTCTTAAAGCTGATTCAACTTTAGTCACATCTGATAAGTGAGCTTTACTGTTATCATTTTCAGGCACAGGTTGTTCCAAAGTAGAGTCATCCAAAAATGGAACATCTCCAGTCATTTTTTTCCAAGGGCAGAGTCTCAACAAGGTTTCTACTTCCTTCAAAACCAGTCCCTGCCAGAGATGCAATCATTGGAGAAGTTCCTGAAGCAGTTTCCATAGTTATATCTTCAGAAAACTTTGAAACCCCTCCCGTAAAACTGGGAGATTCTCCAGCTAACTCTACATTGACTGATGAAGTTGAACTCGAACTTGAGCTGACAGATCCAGCTTCATTTTTTTTCTTAATTTATTCTTCAGCTTCAACAATTCGCCGTCTTTTCTGCCACCTAGATAGTGTGCTGTATGGTTTCCCTTCCATTGTAAACCCTTTAAAAAATTCATCGAAAGGACTACTTTGAATTTAGTTAGTATAGAGATAGTCTGGAACTGGAAGATATTCTCTGTGAACCATCACATGTTTTATATGAGGAGACTTATTCTTTTTAATACAACAGCATGATTCAGCACAATGCCATTACAAATAAATTGTAAATTCAACAACTGTGAATGACATTTGAATTATCCATGCAAGTCATTCAGGTACCTTCATCAAAAACCACACAACTTAAGGTTAAAATCAAATATCATTTTTCAATTCTATAATGGATATTAGATAGACTTTTTCAAAAACTAGTTGAAAGTGATTGTTCCACTGGTAATTCAAAAAAGGTCACAACGTGCCTTCATATTAATTGCCAGAGGTTAAATTATACCTATAAGGCAATGGTCACAGATAAAATGTCATTTATGTCTTTGGGCCTCATAGTATTTATGTCTTTTGGTATCATAGTATTTTGCAATTGATACATAATAAGTGACAATAAATGTGTAGAGTGGTTGGCCAATGGCCAATGCTGAGATAGATATGGCCTAAGGTTAACAAGGTCACCGAGTTGAAAAAAAAACTTCTGATTCATGTACAGGTGGCTTCTGGGCAAAATTCCAGTCTAGTTCTGATTAATGAGTCGGAATTTCTGGGTGAAAGTGATTGTTCCACTGGTAATTCAAAAAAGGTCACAATGTGCCTTCATATTAATTGCCAGAGGTTAAATTATACGTATAAGGCAATAGTCACAGATAAAATGTCAATCAATCAATCAAATCAATTCAACACCCACGTCAGAGTCGGTCCTACTTAAACTTCGTAGTCTGACATACAGTAGTGGGAAATTTGCAGCAACACTTCATTACACCGAGTTATTCAATGATTTTAGCAAAGGGAAACATGCTTCGTTTTAACAAATATTTGAACATCGAATGCTTCTTCATGACCGAGCGATTGAAATGTCCGCGGCTGTCGGACAAAGGCGCCTCATCAAGCCGCTGTNGAAGAACAACATTCGCGTTGCTATTGCTGACATTGGTCCAGACATGCTTGAGAAGGTGGAGCGAAACTTCCGATCTCGTCTGACAAAATGTATTGAACAGCATGGAGGTCACCTACAAGATGTAATATTCCTGTCTCTTATACACATCTAGATGTGTATAAGAGACAGATGTAGCTCTTTGTAAAAAAGAAAGAATTAAAACGCTATCTTTAATACTTTTTACTTTGTGATTTTTTTAAAAGAGTAAGTTCCCACGCCGCACCCTGTATATACGAAGGAAAAAAGCTAAGAAGTTAATATGTGAAATTGACGTTGTTTCATATGCATAATTACTGAATACTTTGTCAAGCGAGAAGCTTCCATAGGTAATTGTATCCCAGACTAAACTATTCTCGCTCCGTTTCTCGCCGTCGCAAACACTATATTACGCGTATCAGAACAGTATCATGACTACGAGTACATAATAAAAGGTTGTGATTTATTCAATGTATTTAACGCTAACTTACTCTGGAATTAAAAGAAAATATCTAGTTATTATAAAAAATATATATTGGTTGCTTGATGTCTCCTTCCAGCCCACCCAATGTAGTAAAATTTTTAGTACAACAATGCATGTAACCAATAAGTTTTCTTCAGTATAAAAAGTCATGAAAGACTTCTTTCTTATTATTATTCAGCAACATGAATAACGCCCGCATGTTCAAGTGAGCAATAAAAATAAATGATGACATGCGATGAGGATTTGAATTTTAATGAAAAAAGAAAACTTGGGTGTAAAATAATCGAGTACCTCTCAGGTTAAATTTGCTGGGTTGAATTTCCTAAAATACACATGAAAGTTGAATACATTTCTGTCCCGGCTTTAAAGCATGGGAATATGATATAATATAATAGTCAATATGTAGTTGATGATTATTCCTGTTACCGATAATTAAACGATCAAAACGCTCAAGAAACAAAACCACATCAGTCCAGTGCTGAAATAATAATCATTAGCGAAGCAAATATCCTATTTCGGTTTGTGCTTCTTCATGACGGGAAGATAAGAATATCAGCGGCTTCTTGGATACGGCGCCTCGTGACGTAATTTATTGATGGCAGATAGTGTCATTATTAAATTTAATTGAGAATATAATTAGTAAATATAATAGTACGCTTCAGTAAGTGGTTTAATGTATATTCAATTAGGAAAATTAATTTCCATTATACCAATAGAAATTATTTTTTATTCAAATACCGTACTCAAATCTCACTGCCTTCTGTGGGCTCGAAGATATGTAGGAGATTGCATACTACTGATAACTCGCTGACCTTTTTATAACGACTACAGAATGAGTGGTTGTTAAATACGAGACAAATTATCTGTTGGTCATGTACCAATGAATAATTCTATTATTTCGTCCGTGTAGTCATGATAAGCAACTCTGCTCCACGAGGACTGTGATAGCGGCAGTGATAATACTTCAGTCCGGGGTAAAATTGACGTTTATGGCACTTCAGATGACCGTAGTATTCAGTAGTTAATCATAGTTTATACAAATTGCTCCTGAATATAAATTAATTTCTAAACGTTGAAAGCCCCTTTTGAAGCCCCTACGCTTATCAACGATGGGGGTTAGGTATAAGATTGATAAGAGACTTGTTCTAGTCTTATTTGACGAGTGTGTCCTCTGTGTGCAATTCTAGCAAGGGTTATACGCCTCCGTTTGATTTATTAGACAATCGCCGCCTCGTGAGGCGCCTGTGTCGGACTGTTGCCTTCTTCAATCGTATGGCCATGGAAAAGCATTAAATTATCGATCAATTCAGTTAAAACAATTTCATCTGGAAAGAATGACAACGTTTCGCTACAAAAAATCACCCCATGGAACAATGCTGGGAACCCAGCATTTTTTCACATATATAAATTTAATTTAATTAAAACTTATATTAGATCTTAAACGAAAGGAATTTTTTCAGTAATTATGATCATTTCAGAACATAATTTTGATATTTTTTATCATGGCTTGAACGTCTTGATCGCTCCGTTGTTGGTGGCAACAATAACATGCATGTTAAAATGTTGCTGGACGTGCAGTATAAGTTAAGCTTTCTGGTTGCATGCATCAACAATATCATCATTACTGTTACTGCAGCTTTTTTCCTCCTCAAATAAAGTACAGGGATTGGCGACAGGCAGTTCAATGCTGATGATCCAACACCCACCACCGTGCGCACAAAGATCGAGTAAATGTAACTGAATTGCTACGATTGCTATATTAGAAGTTAGTGTCAGTGATCCGATTTGACATTTGACTTCATGTTATTATCCACGTTGACTGCACTCAACTGACAGGTTCGATGTGACAATGGCAGTTTGATTACAAATTAAACTTTTCAAGCCAAGGTGAGATTAGCAATCAATTATGTGGGCCACCCAAGTACATAAAATTCAATTAGTTATTCAACTATTTCACCGATGTTTAATAATTAAGCGAGTCGCCCCTGCAGCACAACCGCCGGCACAAACATTCGACCTCACGAGGTCAGTTTGGTCGCGTCTTTGACGATGAGGAATGTCATCGGCAACAATTTCCTTACATTTAAGAAGGTCTGTACACAGGAAGTTCGACTTCGCATTGATTTGAAAAAGAAAGTTCATGCGTTTTAAGAGAGTAATCGCGATATCAGCGTACATTGGGCCGTAGGCCTGCCACCGATTCTTAACATAGCGGAGATTTCACAGCTTTTTTATGATCTGGTACACGTAACTCGCTGCTCCAATTTTGCTGTTATTAACTGCCTCTCTTCACAATCCTAGTTGTAACCACTAGGTAACCCTATCCACCCTGCCTGTCCACCGAACTATTCAGAATCCCAAATGGCACGTGGTATGACGCCTTCGATCTCCATATTTTGAGCCGAAATTGAAATTGTGGATCAAATTCCGAGATAAACAAATTGAAACAAAATGCACGACGACAGCGTTTGGAATAATTATTTTGCTGACGGGAGCTGCTGTTTCTCCAGCTGCTTTGTAACGACCAGCTGAGAAAGACCGGCCCGGAAGAGCTTCTTGCGTCCCTTTCAAGGTGTCTAAATGATGAAATAAAAGACGAGGAGTGGCACAAAAAGATTTTTAGGGACATCTAAAAAAATCTGTTTATTTTCGCGCAACTGGCACTTTAGAAATTATATTTAAATATATATATATCTATGTTGGGATAGGCAGGTTCTCACGGAGTCACGATTTCGTCCCCTATAAAAGACGCTGCCGGGACGATGCTGATATTCTACTCTCGCTTTCAATTTATTCGTTGACAGAAAAAACGTTGTTGGCTCTCTCTCAACAATGGTAGTTTGTTTTTCCTTATATATTTTTATATTATTGAATAATATATATTTTAACCCCTCTAAGTAACGCGTTCGCCGGTCGACTCCGAACACAAATCTAATCTACAACTTTCCATCTCAGGAATCTTCTCAGTGCAAGGCTAAAACATATTTACAAATTTATATTACATAATAACTACAGTGAAGGCTGGAGTCGCAATATACTCATAACTACTGAATACTACAGTCGAACGAGAGCTCTAAAAGGCAATTGTATCCCAGGCTGAACTATTTTCACCGCCATTGCCATAAATATTATTGTGCAGTTCAGTTCAGTATCATGACCACGTGGACAGAACAGAAGGCAGAACAGACCCATTCGCAGCAATTTCATATACAAGTAAGCGAGTTATCTTTGCAGAGTTATGACCTACTAGCTACGTAGATGTCATCCTCGAATTCACTGAATGGAGGAAGATTTTTAGTATGGTAATGATGAGAAGGGAAAAGATGGAACAGCTGATTATTAATTATGAAAGGTATATCATGTATAAGTTATTTGCAGCTTTCTGATTATATTTTTACAGTCGGGAACAGTCGTCATATTTTCACAGTCGTCATCGGCTGAAAAACTCGCTGCCTGGAAAATGAGCTCCCTATAATATTTCTGAATATGAGTCAACTTTATTACAACAGAGTGTAGAAAGGGTGTAATGCGATTGCCTTGAATAATAATTCTCAGACTCTGCTGGTCTATGATTTTTCAGATGGTGAATCTGTAGAATTTAATTCTCACCATGAATGTAACTCGGTCGTGACCTCTACATTATAATAATAGTGATGATTCTCATAGTCAACTGTCATATCGGGTGAGTCGAACTTTAAATGAAGACAAAAGTACCATGAATGATAATTCAATACACAAGGCTAGGTATGAGTCCAAACTCTTACATTAAATGTGAAGAAAACACGGTTGAGCAAGGCCCGGCCGTACAGGTTGCCGGCGCTTGGTCGAGATGACATCACATCCTCGTAAGGTGGCGGCCACACTAGACTAAGCCAACTCTGGTTGTCATATACAAAATATTAGCGGAGTAGGGGGGCAGCTGGGCTTCAGAATTTTTTGAGGACTGAAACCCCACTAAAATAGATATTAGGACGTCACTGGGAAGATTAATTATATACACTTATATATGCAGTCGAGTGAGAAGTTGCGAAAGAGGTAAACTTGTACTAACCTTTTAATGCTAATCTAATTGCAGTTTTGACGTTGGCTCGCGGTTCCTGGCTGTACTCGGGTACTTTGCTTAGTGCCTCTGAGAAATGAGTTGAACATTTTTAATAAAACAAAACAATTTTATGAGGGTTTTGATATGAAACCTATACCAACCATAACTTGATTCACGATGTCTCTGGCGCACTCAAACTACTCGTCAATACATTTAACATTTTTAACCTGAAGAATTGAGTAGCCATATGAATTAATTTGGTTGAAATTTCTTACGATCAATGGCAATACACGCAGGAGAGTTTTCGAATTTGATCTTCGCACGTTGTCGTCGAAGACCAAGTCCAGTCATGGTGTATTTCAGAGCCAAGTCCCTGGTTAGTAGCATTTTCAACATCGAGGTAGCTGAGCGGTTGAGGGTGGATTCCTTACAAGCAACAAGAATCGGAATCTGTAAAACAAATAAAGGACTTATTAATACTAATTTCATTCATCATTAATTCAGCAACTGGCCCGGACTTCTAGCAATATCTGTACCATCACCTGCTAAGCTATTTTTTCGCAGCCTTTTATAATTGACACCTTTTTATTCACCTTGCATTTTCATTTGACATGATGGGCAAGTTATTCATTAAATATAAGAGGAGATTAATGAAAATGTGTCCATGCTTTTGGGAATACAGGTTTATCAGTAATTAAAGTAGTACAAAGGTTTGCTAGCGCTTCACCTATGAAGCTATTTCGCACCGGAGGTCAAAAATTAACATCGCCAGAAAGGCAGAAGGTCTCAATTTTTCAATATATTTCAAATGATTCATCACTCACAAGGATCGGAAGGTCTCTATTGTCAAGCACGTTGAAGTCGACTCGAAATAAGCAAACTTAGCCACGAAGTGACAGGGAGGGACAGGTGACAAGCTACAGAAACGAAGACACTCGAACAAGAGGTCGCTTATACGAGACGTCGGCCGCCCGCACGAGAGAGACAGAGCAGGGAAATGTAAAGAATCCTACCTGCATAATAACTTAATCTCACAACTGAGACCTGCAGTCAGACACCGCGAGCTCAGCGGTTGGGCGCTCAGGAACAATCCCCCTAGGAAAGCGAAATCCGGGTCCCTTATAGGGCTTCTGATGAGTAGTCACACGTTTTACCCCAATCAAAAAGTAAAAATGTCCACTGTTCACATGTTCGGTTAATAGCATCATGAAACCTCACGAGCAGCGCAGGATCAACCTTTAGAAATAATCAGTTTTTACACATGTAAGACGAGGAAACATCGGCTGAGATGACTAACTCACCAAATCTGACCGAGACGTAAGAGCTTGCAGCTCGTCTTGCGTCGTGGCAGGCTTGACGAACGTACGTGGCTCAAACACTACAGCATCTTTCTTCACCATCTGCTTTAGTAACAAGTTGTTTTCAAGTACGATAGCTTTTATCAAGCTTATTTCTTTTGCATTTTTATCGACGTTCATTTCTGTTGTTCCTTCTTGCTTGAAGTCACTAGAGAGAAATAACATTAAAATAAGTAACGAGTGATAAAACTACGAAAATGCTGAAATAATTCATACGCTCTTAGTAATGTCTGCGAGTTCAGTACAATTCGAAAATATAATTTAGCATAAATGAGGTCACAGTGAATCAGAATTATGTCATTCATCAGCAACGCGATAGAAGTTGACGACGAACGAAACGATACTGACGTACAAGACATTGAGCGGCAAATCGAAGAAACCTACCGAATTTTTAACTCAAACCCACAACTGAGACCCGCAGTCAGATAACGTAGAACCATCCCATGATAACATGATCCTTCAAGACCTTCTAGGGAGCATCGACGGGCCAAAATACCTTCTATAAGAGGTTCCCTATTAAACATGTAAGTAAACGCTGGTTGAATATCGGAATATTAAAATTTCAACCAACACTCATACAGGTAAAATGATCAGGTGAATCCTGAGGCACAAAACGTTTAGTTTAGGTCACACTATACAATGAACTATTTCAGAACTAAATACTTGTCTGCAACATCCGCCTATCTCATTAATAGTAAAATTATATATTGTATGAAAATGCAGGCATGACTAACCCAGCATGTGTCTCAATATCTTCAATAGGGTTGCTTACTGAAGCTCCCGATGCTCTGTTAACACAAAAAAGGGTTTTTCAAGTAATAGGTGCGCTATAATCGATTCATTTGAATTTAATTAAGCGAACATTTGCGAAATTAGAAGAGATAGCATCTTCAAAAATGTTCAACATGACATACGGACTTCAGGACCTCATTGAAGTAGGTTTACAGCCTGCACTCCGAGCTTTGTATCAAAATCGCTTGATACCTATTGTGATTTTTCAACATTAGAGTAATAACGTTATTTATATTTGACGATTTAATATGTCGCCAGGTCTGGCTCGAAAGAAGCAGCGTTAGCATCTCAAAAAGACGAAGTGACAAGGAGGCACAGGTGAAAAGCAACGTAAACTAAGACACTCGAACAAGAGGTCGCTTACACGGGACGTCGGTCGCCTGCTCGAGAGAGACAGAGAAGGGAAATGTAAGGAATCCTACCTACATAATACATAATATTAAACTATTTTAACGATATGTACATTGTCTTCTGTTGGTGCAATACGAAAATGATCACTAAACGTCCTGGATTGTTCCTTAAAGTTAAGAACAAATCTCCTCCGAAACATGCTATTCCCAATTCAATTGTGAGGGAAACTCTTGGATTTCTGTGGCATTTCCTAGTGACACCCTGAAATACATCTCAACAAAGCACGGTATCTTTCAATTAATATGAAGCGGAATTATGAATTTTAAATTACTCACTCAAGTGGAACAAATTCGTCGGTGACATTGAGAGAAACTCGATGTTGATGGGGTAGAGGTGTGGGCCCTCCGTCCGAATCGCTATCATTCTCACATACTGTTAAGTTTACAAGAACACATACAGTAAATGATTATGTAAACATATTGCCGAAATCGGTGTCTGAAAATGTAAACAGATTATTTGGTAGCTTCTACGCTAAATTAAAGGCTAAAACACCCGATGCATGAAAATTATTCAGATATGACATGAGGCCGTAGCTAATGACGATACAATAACATGTTTATCACAATTGAATGGATCAATAAAACATTGATACTCATTTAATCAAAGTAAATAACCTGTAGATTTTGATCAGAAACGTACATGTATCTGTGAACAGTACATCAAGCCTTCACTTAGCGGAGGTAGGTAGGTATAACTTTTCTCCGCTTCGTGCTACACGAAGAAGAAGCAGGATCAACTGATGTTAAATTGCCACACGGCGACGATTTCCGTTTACTCTGCATATAAGCAGGATTCGGACTGTACGTTTCGGATTCCGGAGCCGTTGAGGACCCATCGCCGTGTAGCATGTTGTGCACTGCTCTCTCGTAGTTATCTAAAATATATCAAATTTCATACAAAATAAATGCTTCTGCAGAGGTTCGCTAGCTGTTTAAAAAAGGAACTTTTTTATTATGCTAAGCGGATAATTGGTTTGGAACACATATAAAAGAGAAATGTTACAAATATTATATATATAATGCCTTCCTAAATAATTTATGTTAATGTGATATTGATATATTTATATCACCATAGGGATTTATATCAACCCTAGGGCGGTATGCAAGCAACAGATTCAATCAGAGTGGCTTGCACCTAATGAGTTACAGTTTCAATGTGCAGGTAACAGATAGAATTATAGTGATCTAGGGGCTATAATTCAGTGGTATCATAAAGAAAGTTTATGGGAGGCTTCAGCTCACCTATAATATACTCAAGCCCCCTAAATAATTTCATGGTCATATTTTCAAATATTTGTCCAACTATTTATATATTTATAAATTAATTGTCTAACTATTACTATAGGGAGGGGCTTAGCCCGTCCTGCCATTAATACCTAATTATGACACTCATGTGCTGATCCATGAACATATGGTAAAGTATGGTGAACACCCATAGATTATAGTTACAACTTACTTGAGGTTGTAACCCGTCCTGCCATTAATACCTAATTATGACACTTATGTGCTGATCCATGAACATATGGTAAAGTATGGTGAACACCCATAGATTATAGTTACAACTTACAGACCGTTTAACAGGAAAATGTTACCACCATTTTCCAACATGTGCTTTCTGCTCTGCAAGATGGTTAACGTTTACATCTGAAGGCCACCAAACATGAACTGTATCATTTTCTTTAAATAGCCATTCAGATGGAACCACCTGCCAGGCATTTTCTTAAAAAAATGCCCACAAATTGTTTGTACATGATTGAAGAAAAGAATCTGTATATATATTATTATGAATTAATGCACATTAAGCTGAAGAGTTTTTGTTGTATCTTGATACAACAAAACTAACCAAGACTCAAAAATTGAAAGTATTTTTTTAATAACCCCTACCGAAGCCGGATGACCAGGAAAGTATTCTACTCTCTTATAAAAACTCTGGGTAAAACATTTAACGGTATTAGGAATTTTGAGAACACTATTTTTATAAAGAACAATTGGTAAAACATTAAATGGTATTATAAATTTTGAGCACACTATTCTCACAAAAACTCTTGGTAAAACAAGTAGACTGTGGAATGGTATTAGAAGAATGGTATTAGAAATTTTGAGCACACTATTCTTGCAAAAAAACTCTTGATAAAACATTAAACGGTATTAGAAATTTGAACACACTATTTATGACTCCTGTTTATATTCATTAAATTTAAATGTTTGCAAAAACGAAAGATATAAGAGTTAGAATACTTTCTTCTGGTTGGATGGGGACTGGCATTTCTTTATTGCTGACATTTTTCAAATTGAAATCATATATAGAAATCGTGCAAATTTTGAGGCGATTAGACATTTATGAAAAATATTACAGGGTATTTAAAGCCTAACAATGTACAATTTTAATATGAAATATTCACTGCATAATATATCACATAACACACTCCAAATTTAAGGATTCATACGAATTTTTATTATTTATAAATGGATTCATCAGACATAGTACACAGTTTCCAAGACACAAATAATCAAATCTATTACTTTACTTCCTCTAATTTCAAAATGATTCAAGGGAAAAAAACATCCATTTAAAAAATTGAAAGCAGACCCTATCAAACAAGCGGTCATTTGGCGTGCAACAGTTTAATTGTTATGTAGTAATCCTTTTTGGGGAGCAGCATCATTTTGGAATAATAATAATAATAATAATAGCGGTTTCAGCGTTTATTAGGCCGTAGGCCTGTCGCCGATTCTTAACATCGCATAACATTCACAGCATTTTGAGGTCTCGAACTCGCAACGCACTGCTAAATTCTGCTTTGCTTAACCGCCCGGCCTCCTTGCCGATTCTGACCAGAAACTGTCGCACAGAGCTGGGATCGAACCCGCGCCTCTCTAGTGCGTCAATCTTGGTACTCTGAACTTTAACCACTGGGCCACCCTGCCCCAGGGTGGCCCAGTTTGAATTCGTTCAAGGGTTACAATATCCTGCTTGTCACTAATCTGGACTTTATGGATACCGACTAATTGCGAATCAACTGGCTCGTAAAATAGGGATTGTTAAAAAAACATTAACAGTCTATTTTTATCAATTGCAGTGATGATTGCAATGTCCCCTATTTCAACATGACGCAGTTTTCTCTGTCTCCAATGACACCGCTTTTCAAAAGTGAACCTTTTACATAGAAGAATTTACTCTTTTACAAAATTACTTGTAGATTTTGCAATTGTAATTCTTTTATTTTCCAGACTCAGGTGCCTACATATTTGTTCCAAAGGTTTATTTCTCCCAGACAACCTTCCTTTAACACTCACTCCTAAGTAGCTTTCATGGAAAACATGAAACATTGTCAAGGGAACCATACTTCATATAATCATCGGGAAGATGGATCAAGGAGTGGACATTATATGACAAGAAACTTGACCCATACAATTCTATTGAGCTGGAGACAAATTGTTTTAGCAGAGTACGAGCATTTTCAACGTTGGAAATTTGATTTGGACTCAGCAAAATCATCATGGCAAGGCTGAAATTCAAGAAATTTAAATAATAACACTCTGGTAGAATTTCTAAGAAGACCATAATGTCAGCATACAACATAAACAAACGCAATTTACTGGCTTTCCAGTATGCTAGTGATCCAAATCCTCCAGCTAACTTCCTATTAAAATCTGAAGGCAGATTTGATGGAAAAGTATTGATTTCTGTATTCAAAAGTTGCTGCTTTGTGCTATCCAAGTGGCATCGAACTTCTCCTTTGTTGGAAAATTTTAACCTGTTCAGCATTCTTTTCATTACTCCCAAACAAGCAAGATGCATGTAGTCCAGAGGGAATCTTGAAACCATTCCAACTCCAAGTTGTTCAATGATAGAATGCGGCCCTTGCTTGTGGTGAGATGGATCAGCTTGAGCCAAAAATTCCTCATCAGTTCTTATGGGGGCATTGATGTCCGGACGAACTACGTGACCACCAGCATATGAACCTTTTTGAATGCAACGTTCACAGCCTCCA